GCCACCACGGTTCATATGCTTTGTTGTTTCTATGTGTCCTGAGATGTAGGGGCATAGCTGCTCCAGATAGGGAATCTTCCTTTATGGACCCTCAAAAATGGCTGAAGTGAAGGTATGATAGCATGCTTAAGAGCTTTCATTTTGGATGATTATGCAATGAGGGAGGCAGCGTACCTGATGAATTTGCTGACAAAGTTCAGGTTCATAGTTAGGGCAGACAGATACTCTATCTTTTATGCATTGTTCGATGCTTTCCCCTATCATAACCCATGCTAAGTAGAATTCTTCAGGAGCGGCCTAAAAATGACATTGTAGTAGCTATTCTATCTTTCCAAACAAATACAAATTCGTTGCCCATACTTAGGGGCAAGGCCATGGATTTATGTTTCAGGAAGACAAATCCCAGATGAATGCTGGGAAAAATTTCCTAACAGTAAGATTCATTAAGCAATAAACCAATTAATTAACCATGAAGCCTTGCAGCTTTCATGGTTTGGATGCTGGGTTGGAGTTTAGCAAGATCATGTTTGAGACCTACTGTGGAGTGGAGTGAGCTCCTGTCCTTTGGTCCTGCTCACAACTGGGCATCCTCCAGACAATGATGATGTCATTGGCTTAATCCTTTCAACCTGGAAGTGCTTTGTTGCTTCTGACATGAGTGCAATGCCGAGCTCAGAAGGATGGAAGGCTGAGTCAACCTTGAGCCAGTCAGGATCGAACCCTTGGCAGTGAACTGAATTTTCCTGCAATACTGCATTCTAACTACTGTGCCACCAAGTTTCATACCCATGGAGGTTGTAACTTTCCCTTGAGTTTAAACCAGGGATCCCCAAATTTGGCAACTTTAAGATTTGTGGACTTCAACTCCCAGAATTCTCCAGCCAGCATGGGAGTTGAAGTCCACAAGTCTTAAAGTTGCCAAGTTTGGGGACACCTGGTTTAAACAAAGCCTAGACAGTCATCTGTCAGGGATGCTTTTGTTTGGATTCTTAAACTAAGTGGGGTGGTTGGACTAAGAGGTCCATTCCAAGAGTCTGTGACCTTGCAGAGATTCTATGATTCTCCATGCCCGTGCATTTCAAACATCTTAAGCCTTATTTCCAATATTTGGTAGAGTCCTTTCCTCTGAGATTTGAATTGGGTATGTTTGGGTTTAAATATTTATCCTTTAAAATATTGTGTGGATAAGGGTGTTGAGCAAAGCCTGAGTCTTTCAGTTATCTCTTTAAAATAACACACAGGGATGAAAATAATGAATGAAGAGAATGAAAGTTCATGTTGGGTGTTTTAGAAAGGGCAGGGGTGTCTCGGTGCTATGAAAAGTTATTGCAGTAGGAAGCTTGGAAAATAAATTTTTAGAGACACGAGAAGCCTGCCTTTAAAAGCCTGTTTTTATGATGTTGTAAAGCTACTAGCATTTTCCACTACAATTTTTCAAGGCTGATGAAATGCTTGATCTATATCTTAGATAAATTTTATGATGTTCCCCTTAAAATTCAGAAGAGAAATATATTTCTGTTAGTGGCAACATAAATCTAAATTTTTCCTTTCTACCTTACAGCAGTTAACACAGAAGTTTCATTTTGTAAACAGTTTTTATTACATTTTCTCTTCTGATATTCACAGAACTAGCCAAGAGCACATGTAAAGGTAGTCAACCCACTGAATAATTTTTGTTTGTTAAAATTTAACCCTGCAATCAACAAATAATATTTTGTGTGAAAGAATTGAATAAATATTACTCAGCATTAAATAGAGCATATTTCTTATTTTTTCCTCACTAGTGGCAAACAAAATAGCTTATTAGAAAAAAGACATTTAACTCTCCACTTCCTTTTGTTTATCCAGAATTTCCTATTAATCTCTCCACTGATTTATAAGCCACGGTAAATAGATTTAAAGCTACATTTTTATCAGAAATTGCTAAAAAATGAAATATAAATCTGAGATAAGATAATAGTTTTATTATCTTAAGAGTATTTGCAGGATCAGCTAGACTGGAACAGTTGCTAAGTTATCTGAGAGTTACTTGAATTGCAGCAGGAGAGGTAGAAATGGAATAAATTTCTTTTAAACAGAACTATTCATTTATTTACAGGCAAAAATTAAAATTAAAAATAATAGTCAACAAAGATATTCTGTATTCTAGTTAGGACCAGGGGTCGTATTCATCAGGTTCTGACCAGTTCTGGAGAACTGGTAGTGGAAATTTTGAGTAGTTTGGAGAACTAGCAAATACCACCTCTGACTGGAGATTTTACAGTATCCTTCTCCTGCCTTGCCCACCAAGCTACGCCCACAGAACCAGTAGTAAAAAATTTTGAATCCAAACTAGGGAAGAAAATGTATCTGCAAAATTCTGCACTGCTTATCAATGTAGGGCCGTAGCAAAGATGACACTCTTGTACTAGCAGCATACAAAGAGTCAAAAAAGGCATGCAGAGAAACATACAGCAACAGCACAAAACCTAAATTGTCACACATAGATATAAAAATTAATCTTCCTTGAGTGAGTGACTTGACATTGATTGATACAGAGATTATATTATCTTGTTACTTGGACTGCTCTTTATAGGTACATCATAATATACAATTACATTAAGTTTAAATGTTATAAGTAATGCGTGAAAGCAGTCCTAAGCTTCCAAGGTAAGTTTTAAGAAATTAGAATGGCAGGGCAATAGAATTCCACTAAATGAAGGGAAGAAAACTTATGTCCTAGGAAATAAATAACAATTTCCGAGCAATTTTTCAAGCCATCAGCAGTTTAGTGCAAGAGGACATTAGGGAGACAGCTTGGGAATCAGTGAATCCACAGCCAATTTGTTTTCTTTAGACAAACTGGTCATATTAACTGAATTAGCAGCCGAGTAAAACAGCACTGGGGCCATATTACTTTATTTGGGTGGAAGTGAGCAATGAAGATGGATGTAAAGATTGGGGAGTAAATGATCGGTTAAAAGTGGAAGCAGGGATGGCTAAAAACCCTCTGGAGGATTTGCTCCCTCTGGAGGGTAGCAAAACTCTATTCTCCGGGAACTAGAAATATTTCCCAGTTCTCCATTTTGACATCAGTAAGAAATATATCACAATTTCTTTCTAACCATGGCTGAGTAGGCAGTGAAAATTTATTTTCTAATTGATTTTGGCCATCAACATTATTATTTAACTGAGTGTACATCACTTATTGAAGCAGGTTTAAAGAGGAGAATATAATGCATTACTTCATTAAATAATGCTTAATTTGTTAACATATACTCAATTTATGAACATTGTATCATATTGGATGTTTGAAAGGTTCTTTTTTTAAAGATGACTTACTGTATCTAATGAAATTAGTTTTCCAGAAATGCTGAAATAAAATAACATTCTTGTGCATGATTTGAAGGAGGTTGCACGTCATCAGGTCATTGCTGACCCCATGTTGATTTGTCCCTAACCTGGTCTTTCAGTGGCATTCATTGCCACTGAAACTGAATCCATCTACCTTGCTACTGGTCAGCCTCTTATTCTAGTTCCTTCTACCTTTCCCAGGATAACAGCCCCAGCACAAGAGCCTTCTCCAAAGAGCTCAGTCTTTACAAGATGTGATCAAAGTAGGATAATTTCAATCTGATCACTTGTGCCTTGAATAAGAGCTCTGGGTCAATTAATTTGATGATCCACTTGTTTATTTTCTTTGCTGTCCATAGCATTTCAGAAGTTTTTTCCAACAGGAAAATTCAAAAGGGTCAATACTCTTCTTATTCTGCTTCTTCAAAGCCCCAACTTTCATTTCCATAAAGTATCATAGGGACTAGCATTGCATGCACGTTTCTTTATAGATGTACACATATAACTGAATCTGAATATCTTTTCCAAAGTCTCTCTGGCTGTTGTAGCAAGTGCTAGTCTGTGGCTTATTTCTTGACTGCTTGTTCCTTTAGTGTTGATCCTGAAAGGTAGAAGCTATCCAGCTCTTCAATAGCTTCATTGATAATTCTGAGATTAACTTTTCTACCCTGTACTCATTAGTGTGTTTTTGTTAGTATTTAATTTTAGTCCTTTTTTTTTATTGTGGTGCTTCACTTTTTTACTAGGACTTGCAGATCCTTTACAGTTTTTGCTACCAGGCAAATGTCATCAACATAGTGTCATCAACCAATAACCTATTGGTATTTATTCCTATCTGTTGCTAAGCAAGAGAGTTGTTAAGTGAATTGTGCCCCATTTTACAGCCTTTTATGCCATGTTTGTTCAGCGAATTACTGCAGTTGTTAAATGAAACATGTGGTTGTTAAGTGAATCTGACTTCCTCATTGACTCTGCTTGTCAGAAGGTTGCAAAAGGTGATCACATGACCCTGGGACACTGCAACTGTCATAAATACCAGTCAGTTGCCAAGCATCCCAATTTTGATCATGTGCTACAATATTCGTAAGTGTGGAAAACAATCATAAGTTACTTTTTCAGTACTGTTATAATTTTGAATAGTTACTAAATGAATGGTTGTAAGTCAGTGACCGTCTATATTAAAAACAGTAAAAATCTGAGAAATATAGAGGCAGGATTCAAAGAACTAATCATATTCCATAAAGATATAATACAAGGGTCTTCAAACTTGACAGCTTTAAGACTTGTAGACTTCAACTCCCAGAATTACTGAGCTAACATGGTTGGAGGATGAATTCTGGGAGTTGAAGTCCACAAGTCTTAAAGCTATCAAATTTGAAGACCCCTGATATAATACATACTCTTCAGATAAGAGATTCTGCCATTATAATAAAAACTACTTGCTAAATCCCCGTGTTTCAACAGTGACTTATCAATTCATGTTGTGTAATTGATACATGATACAATACATAAGTTTAAAACTTGTTTCAGTGTAGATACATAACTGCCCAGATTCCTGAAATTTGGTCATGATACATTAACAATATAACTGTTATTTTTAGGCAGATTGTTTACTGCATTTTTGTTTCCTGGTGATTGAAAATAATATTCATGTTTTTTTCTTGCAGTCATCACACACAAACAACATCCTGGGATCATCCTAAAATGATTGAACTATTCCAATCACTATGTAAGTGCCCTTAAAACTAAAGCCTCTCCATGTGCAAAAGTGCAGTTTATGCCACATAAGCAGGATACAAGTTACCCTATAACTTTGTCATAATGTCATTCATGTTCATTCTTCTTAAAGTCAACTATGTCCAATGCCTATATTATATTCTTATACTTTTTTTCATTATACAATGTACAACAATGTTCTCCCTTATAACTGCCAGGTTCAGTTTATTGATTGTACACCTTCTAATTAAAGCAAAGGTATGTTGCAGTTTAAACCAGTAATGGGATTCAATTTTTTTTACTACCAGTTTCGTGGGCGTGGCAGAAGAAGGATACTGTAAAATCTTCAGTCAGAGGTGGTATTTGTTAGTTCTCCAAACTACTCAAAATTTCCGCTACCATTTCTCCAGAACTGGTCAGAACCTGCTGAATACTACCTCTGGTTTAAATGGAAGTTTGGTACAATTATTATATTTATTCCTCAAAAAAATGCCACAGGATCCCATGTATTTGAATATAATATATTTCAAAACATACCTGATGACACTCTAAGGAATATAATTTGGCTAGTGCTTCTTTAATAATAAATTCAAGGTGTAAGAACTGCATTATAGCAATAGCACTTAGGTTTATGTACTGCTTCACAGTGTTTTACAGTTCTCTCTAAGCAGTTTACCTGGTTAGCATATTGCCCCCAACAATCTGGCTCTTCATTTTACTGACCTTGGAAGGATGGAAGGCTGAGTCAATCTTGAGCTGGTCAGAATTGAACTCCTGGCAGTCAGCAGAATTTGCCTGCAATACTGCATTCTAACCATTGCACCACAACGGTTCTTTTATGAAAGCAGTACATGACTTTTAGCATCCAGAGTTGTGGAATGGTTAAGGTGCTGAGTTTAGCACTAGAGACACTTGGTTTCAAGTTTGCCTCAGCTGCGAGGTATATGTTTTGAAAAAGCAAAGCCAGCACACTAAAGTGAGGGACTGCAGAACTCATGTTTAAAAGTTATAAGCTATCCCAGATAGTCCGTTTTGCAAAGAGTTTTAAAATATTACAATTGCTAATTTATTGGGTACTTTAACCTATCTCATATGCACATACATAACACTCTTTCCTCCTCCTGACCTGTATCATCCCAATTGAAATCCTACATCCAGTTTAACCATTCCATGTATCTGAGGAAACGAACTATAGTTCACAAAATCGTATGTCTTTTAATAAAATCATTGTTTTGAAAAGGTGCTACTTGATTCCTTCTAAATCTCAGTCATGGATGTTCATAGGATAATTTTAGGCCCTTTATCTTCTCCTAGCCCAACCTATTTCATTTTTGTTTATAAGGGTGAAAAAGTGAAAGAAGGAACATTATATATGCCTCTTTAATTTTCTGGAAAAAAAGCTGAAAATAAATATGCTGTCAGGATTCCAGCAGTTGCCCTAATTAAATCATGAGTCTTGAGCCAAGCTTCAAAAACTACAAAGAATTTATAAGAAGCGAGCATGTTGGCATGACCTGCTTGAAGCTGATTCTGAGACACGTAATTCACTGTCACCCTTGACCCTGGTTTCCCCCCACCCCTTTGGGTGTATCATAATTCATATTCTCCAGCCGAAACACATTCATAGCTAAGAGTCATCAATCACATTCTCTAATTAGAGATTTGCATGGCAGAAATTCTGGTCACTTAGTTATAATCTTTGCAAGAGAAGAATGGAATGCACTTTTGGTTCCAAACTGCTGCACTGCTCTTTCAAATCCTACCCACGCCCCCCGCCCTTCTGTTCATGGCAACTCTAAAACAGGCATACAAATGTTTTATGAGTTGACATTGCCCTCAAGGATTTCTATTAAATGTATTATTAACACTTCTTATCTTGCTATGAATATATTGAAATTAAGACTCATGCAGTTAGAGATTGATCATGTGGCCCATTTCCATAGAATTCAATTCTAACAGGAAGTTACTTCCAGTGGGTGTTTATCAAAGTTTTGATTCTGAAGACGTGGAACTGTGAGAGTTGCTACTAAAAACCTCTGAGGATCTTATAAAAAAAATATGCCACAGAGAGGACTGGTGCAGGGCAGAATAATACTAAAAATCAAGTCTCGTGCATTTCCGAAAGGCTTAGGAATGGCCACTGGAGCATCTCTAAGGGTTTTCACTAAAAAAGAAACACTTTCATTATATTTGACTTAATTTGCATTGAATCAGATCAAGTCACTTTTACCCTGGGTCCATCTATTGCTTTGTTCTGATCAATTTTTGAAACATAATCCTTAGTATACCTGTCCATAGTTTGTTGCACATCTCTATGTTACAGCAACTAGCCTGTTTTGTATTGTAAGTTAAATTGTTTTTTCTCATCTGACTCCATTCATGTAAATGTTACTACGATGTTCAAAGTAAAACTGTCTAAAATGTTAAACAGCTGCGATTATCCTATTCTCTATCCTATTCATTTTTTCTGAACAGGAACTAACTTTAAACCTCTCATTTAATTTGTAGTGTTGCATTCCTATTTTCTTTTTTTCCTCTTAATTAATTAAAAGAATCAACTATTGATTGATGGACTGTTGATGCATTTTGTTAAAACTGACAATAAATGTTTGATGGTATTGGGCTAATACTTCCTTAGAATATATTAACTTTCTCTTCTTTGGCTTTTTTTTAGCTGATTTGAACAACGTGCGCTTTTCTGCTTATCGTACAGCCATCAAGATCCGGAGACTACAAAAAGCTTTGCGTTGTGAGTATGCCTTTCAAAATTCATTCCTCCTTTATTGTCTCAAAAATCAAAGTTATCTTGAAGAATCTGGAGATAGTTTCTTAAGCTGAAGATTTTGATATTCAAAATGGTAATACTAATCACTCCTAGCCTGAATCACTCTTCACCTAATTTGCATTACTTGTGTCACTGTTTTGGAATGACAGTGATTCATACTCTTATCACTTTGAGTTTAGATGCCTGCAAGGCACATGTCATGGACTGACTGCTTTACAAAGATTCAGAAACTGCAGATTTTCCCAAATGCAACAACCCAGCTGCTGATGGGAGTAAACTGCTTTAGGGGCCTAACAACGTCTGCTGTGGAATCCATCTATCTTCTACATTTTACTGAAGGCAAAATGCTTTAGGGCTCTTCCTCTGATGAAATTTGTTGAACTGGACTTAGAGGCAGGTCTTCTTGATAATTGCCCCTATTCCTTAAAGTATATTTCATCAGAGGTCCAAAATGGCTCCTTTTGTACTGTCATTTTGGGAGGCTTTTAAAATTATTTTATTTTGGAAAGTCTCCAGAGTTTAATGGTGTGCTTGCACGTCATTGCTGATAAGATGAGACATTAGCTTTATTCATTTGAGTTTTATATTAGTTTATGATCATTTATGTTGCCATGGCTAATTTGTTTTTATGGATGTAATCCATCCATATATCCAAAAAGGATATAAATCATTTTGAATTTCATGGTATACAAACTGTAAATTAGTAAATAAATAACAAACATGGTGCCCAGGAAATGTATGGGTGGTACAGTTCCAAGCAATTAAGATAGGTAATAGATAAATGAAAAGAAGAGAGCAAGAAAGAGCTGTCCCTGGTTCTTTTTGGAGCAAAATATATGTTATGGGATGAAAATATTGTCTACAATGTAGAGGAACAGCATGCTGTTTGCTGAAAAAAATGATTAAAACACATATAAGTACATCTTTTAATGAGTTAAATCATTTTGGATTCATGGTAGTTGGTTATACTTTTAAATAAACACATTTTTCCCTTTTAAAAAGTAATCCCTACATCTGCAGAACATAAGCTCTCAAGAGAATTACACAGAATCGGGTAACATTTGACAAATGTTAACATTATTGAAACATCCAGGTATACCTAGAAATCCACAGCTGTCTTTTTCAATCTCTCAGCTGTTTATTCCATTTTGCTTAGCAACAGTCAAATCTTCTGCTTTTCTTCTATCATGGATTATACTGACAATTTATGTTCACAAAGGCAAATTAGGTTTCCAAAAGCTATCAACTTGGTATTTATAAAGATAGCTGAAACTGCAATAGTATATTCGTTTCTGTATTGCATAGTGTAAATGCAGTCATAGGGATAATTAAATGTAAATCCACTACACAAATCCTCCCATAATATATAGTTCAGTAAAGTAAACAAAAGGGATAAGACAATTTTATTGTCATTTACCTGTATGCACAATGGCAGATATTAAAATGAAATTTGTATGCCCAGCTCTCAAAATAAGAAACATCCTTTGAAATATATAAAAAGCATATGGATGAATGGATGGAAGGATGGATGGATAGACAGACAAGTCAGTTAGTTAGCTTGGTCTAGTGATTAAGGTACCAGGCTAGAAAACAGAAGACTATGAGTTCCAGTCCTGCCGTAGCCATGAAAGCTAGCTGGGTGACCCAAATCTGTCTTAGCCCAATTCATCTCACAGGGTTATTGTTATGGGGGAAATAGGGGGAGAAAGGCGTGTTGGATATGTCTGCCACCCTGAGTTATTTGTAAAAATAATAGTCAGGGTATAAGTAATAAATAAATAAATAAAAATACTGAAAAACCAATGTGTTCTGGGATTTCTGGTCTTTTAAACAAAACTTTTCTCTGATTGTTCAGTGAGACATTCTTTTGAGATATAAAATGGCACTAGAACTCGTTGAAACATCAAGTGTTTTGTCGACAGTAATGAAGGAAAGATAGTGGTGAGACACGTCTGGCATTGAGAACTAGGTTAATCACACTTTCATTTTTAGTTTCGTCTTCCCAGAAAAAAACAATGTAAGGTTTCTCTGTTCACAGATAAATTACTGGAAATCTCTTTAGCACTAAGAATGTGCAGAATGACTATAAATGACTGAGGTCAAAAATCTTGTTTGGCTGCCAGGCCTCACTGAATCCAAATCCAATTTTGTTCTTTTAAACTAATCTCTCTGAAGCAGAAATGCTAACAGGTGTTCTTTTTTCCTTTTTTTACTTTCCAACAGCTCTGACAATAAAACATTTTATAATCTCTGTGCAGAAATAAGCAGTCACTATATTAGTTATTAAGTGAATTGAATTCAACAGTAGACAGATCTTTAAACAACACTACCTTTACAGTTATTCTCGACATGGTTTTTAAGCTTGTTAGCTAACCTCTATTTGGGATAGGTAAAGCAAAACAAGTCTTGTATATTTTATTATCAGAAGGCACCAAAAATAAGTTGGAAAACTTAAGTTGGGGGCGATAATTTTTTAACATGTTAAATGTGGATGAACAACTCTGCAATGCTCCCATTTTAGGTGTCACCCAAACCAAACTGTCATGCATGTATAGTCTGTTGAAATGGGAAATAGTTACTATAATTTAAATCTGTAAGAGTGCCAGACTATATACAGGTAGCCTTCAATTTGCAACCACAGGGAGTTCAACATTTCCATTGCTGAGAAAAACAGTTGTTAAGTGAGTTGTGTCCCATTTTACAACTTTTTTTTTGTCATGGTTGCTAAGCAAATTACTGGAATTGTTAATTGAATCATGTGTTTGTTAAATGAATCTGGCTTTCCCCATGGTCTTTGTCGGAAGACAGGTGGGACGGTTATAAATGATGATTGCATGACCTCTGGACAGTGCAGCTGTCATAAATAAATGCCAGTTATCAAGCAGCCGAATTTTGATCTCAGGATTGTGAGGATGCTGCAATGGTTTTAAGTGTGAAAAACCTGTCATAAGTCACTTTTTTTCAGTGCCATTGTAACTTTAAATGATCTCTCCAAAATGGTTGTAAATTGAAGGCTACCTGTATAGTGATAACACTTTAAAGCAAAAAGAATTTTGGATTGAATCCCCTTTTAACAGAGGCTCGTCATCTGATGGTTAGAGGTGCCTGTTTTAGCATACCAATTGCAGAGTTCAGAGGCTTTGGGGTAGAAGTTATGAAGATGTCTGAAGAATGTTGGAATCTGTGTTGACAATAATATGCTTTAATAAAAATGAATAAAAAGTTACAGTGTTGGTCTATAATAGTTTGAATATGTGTAGTCCCAATACATTTGATGAGTACTAGGTTGGGAAAGGCTACTCTAGACTAATTTTTGTCTCACTGGTTAAAGATAACAAAGGTAGAAGGATTCACAATATTTTTGTTATCTAATTTTCAGCACAAATAAATGATAATCCTCCTTGCTTATAACTTAAAACTCTCTAGAGCTGCAACACTTTTTGGAGTGTTACCTATAATTGGGAATTGTGGAAAAAGGACTGAAATTGCCTCCCAAGACTTCTGTAAAAGAAGAGAATGAGAATTGTGTGAGAGAAATACAAAATACATTGGTATTTTGTTTATTGCTAGTGCTCCATAAGAGATAGCAAATGTTTGCCAATGCTTTTCTGCCCTACTATTATAAAGAGCTTTTCTGTTTAATTTCATGTCAGTGATATGTAACGATTTATCACTCATCCTAGAACTGGCAAGCTGATCATATAAAAAGGTTTGAATGAAACTAAATATTAACATTCCAAATATCAGGTGAAAAGAATGCGAAGATAACACACTGCTTGCAATTTTTTTTAATCGTTTCTAGTAAAAGTTGTCTCTAAAGATTATGGAACCATTTGGCTTCCAGCTTAAATCCTTTTTATCCCCATGAAATGCCTGTCTCCATAATTTAAGACTACTTGGGGAAAAATTCATAAAGAGCTTTTTTTGTCTCTTATCTCATTGAACAGATGATAATTAGTTTCCCATAATCACTATTGTAACTACAGGTCCTTTTGAAATTAACACATATTGTTGTCATCAGCTGTAACAAAAATGGGAGCTTCCATAATGGATGAATGCCACTACATATGCGCAAAGCCCCATTTTCACATTTTTTTCAAGATCATTAAGGGATTTTAAATGATACATAATTTTGCATGCTCTGCTAAGCACTGTTGGATGCCAATATACAAAGCAATTGCTGAATCCTGCTTAGATATCTTTGAAATCAAGATGATTAATGCTTGTTTACATGTTGTAGCCAGAAGCCCTCACTGCCTTCCCAGTTTAGAATTCTTGGTAATAAATGGTGCTTCTTGTCAGAAACATTAAGTCTTGAACTTGGACAGAATATCGAGGGCTTTTCACCTGTCACAAAAGTTATCTTTTTAAGATATCACTATCCGCATTTTAAAGGTTTTAGCTGAGCTTTCATGTAGTTAAAAAGCCTGGAAGATGAAAGCATTTTGATCTCATGCCAAAAAGATATCAACATTTTGATTCCATGCCACAAAGATATCAATCTTCTTTTGGAAGAATATCACTTTCAAACCTGTATGCTTAATTTTGATGAGTTCCCAGTAGAGGTGCCACTTGAAATAAAAATATTTTTTTGTGTTTCTTAAAGCTTCTACATGTTTATAAATCTTGTTTATGCATGTTATATTATCATACACGAAAGTTCATTGATGCGTTGCTTCTTGAGAATTATAATTTAGGGTGCCTTCAAATGTTTAGCCCCCCTGTAATGTTATACGCACACATAATATTGTGAAGTATCTGGAAAAGCAATAAATAGATAAAAGGAAGACAACATATATGACTGAAATTGTGCTGAATAGGGATCTGAATGACACAGCATCCTAGCTGAGGTATTTCTCATAGCAGTAAACAAAATTTCAAACTAGATTAAATGCTAACTGATTTCTCCATCTACATCTATAAAGCAGATGGCTTTGG